TATATAACCAATTTTATGTTCAGCATAATTTTATGAATAGTCCGATTAACTGTCAAACTTAAATGGAAGAACATTATCTGTGTTTGTGTGTGGATTTTTTCTGATGTTTAACTGTCAAAAAAATGTGAATGTGTTGAATATTTAAATTTAAAAAAAAAAGAATTCATTACCCGTATAAAAATTAAAGTATTGTGAATGACCAATGAACAAACAAATATTATGTTATTTCCATTAATTTCGATGATAGGTCAGAATATTCTAATATTCAAGCTTTTGATACAAAATGAGTTTTTTGCGGAATGCGGATTTACTGTGCGTTCGTTTGTAAATCGGAAACATCACGTACGAGTGTGGGGCGTGCTTTTAACGTTACACAGAAACCAAATAACCATAATATTAAAAACTGCAATAGTTTATAATGGCTGCATAATATTAAAGAACGTATGTCTCATACGTATTTATACTTCTTAGATTATGATTGTTAAGTCGAAAAAAACTCAAATTAACTTAGAATTATTTTTCATTTTTTTATTTACAAGAGCTTCTAGTAAAACTATTAAACTCGAAAATTACAAGAATAATAAAAATGAATTAAATTAAAATACTACGAATAAATAATAAATATATCGCAATAATAAAAATATATAAATAATAATAGTTTAAATCACAAAGTCTCGTGAATGAAATAAATAATAAGAATTTTAGCAGATTTTGAATTAAAATTTAGTATGTCGAAGATATTAAATGGAATTTTGAGAAATTTAAGAGAGTTAATTATGATGTTACGTTTAATAGATAAGGAGGGACAATCAAAGATAATATGAGATCGCAGATACTTTTTTCTAATTGTACAGAGGGGGGAATCATTAAGATTAACATTTTAAGTATGATAAGGTAAAATATGATAACTGCGTAATTAAGTACATTTTATTATGAGTGAATAAAAATTAATACCTGGAATAATGTTATTAAAACACTTTCGGCGGTTGTCTATTATCCTATATCACATAGTTTCACATTTACAATAATTTATACGACTATATTTTGAAACCCATTTATTGACTGTCAGTCATAACAATATAGTAAATAAAAACTTCAATATCGTGATTAAATACAATGATTAGTAACATCACTTTACTAATGATGTTCACTATATCGCATACGTCACAGCTCCATTGCAATATCACGTGAATGAAAAAATACAACGATATACTTGAAAATCATCAATATATATTTTATATTTTATAATAAAATACAACGTGTTACTATTTCAAATTTTATCTGTTCATCATCCAGATAAGATTATATTTTATCATACTAAGTACGTACATAGTAAGTAATAGCAAACTAAAAAGAAATAAATATAAATGGAATAAAATAAAATAAATATTTTTGACCATTGAACAGCCCAAATCAAATTACATAGATTTCTTAGAATGTTTTTGGGCGAAAGTTGGTGTAATTTATAAACAGGATTAATATGGTTGACATTGGGTATTGTTTCTAATACATTTCACACTGACTGTTAATTATGTGGATTTTTTTATTTCGTCACTGAATGCATTATACATGCTTTGTAAGAATCTTAAAATAAATTCTGAACCAATAATCACGTTTTAATCATTTTTATTATAATGCAATAATAATAATATGTGCTTAGAACAAATTACTTTATACGCGAAAATCAGCTCATTATGAAATATTTTCAATTAAAATATTACCATTTTAAATCGATTTAAAATAGTTTGAAAATAATCCAAAATCAATGAGCTAAGACTTTGATGGACGGGTGGATATAGGAAGATTATATATTTATGAATAAATTTGAATTTTTTAATATTCTGATATATTTTTAGCTTAATCTGTATTGACGGTTTGAGATATGGGTTTTCATTTACTTGAATCATATTTAAGGAATTTCATATATTATTTTTTGATATTCCATTTTTCTGAAACAATTCTATTATAGCAAATAATACTAAATACCGATGCCCTTCTACAAAACTTAACGAATTTAATTTTTATAATGGTGGCTCGTCAATAAATATTTATATGCATTCTATGCTTATACTTATAATTAATTTATTTTGATTGAAATAATAAGAAATTGTATTTCTTAAGAACGTACCTACTACAGACATAGTTAAAAAATAATTAATTTTACCAAGACAGAACCGCATGAAGTACCGTACTTAAACTCCGTTGTTCGACAACTGACGGACGACGATTATAATTGCTTTTCAGAACTACACTGCAGTAAAATATTAAAATACAAAATTCGGTATGAGTAAAGGCCTCGAATAATCAGGAACACAGTGGACATCTCGTCTCTTTCAGTGTGTATCATTTCAAAACATATAGTGTAGTATAATGAAACCATGATCGCTCAAATAGAAATGGATTGATTATATTTACATCACGACCCACTCAAAGGCGAAAATTGGGGGGAGGGGGTTTGGGGTGACTAAGCCCCCTCAGAAATTTAAAGTACAGGTATTATTCCCCCTAGTCCTAAAAATTGTTAAGCGACTAAAAATACAATAATTATTATAATTGTAAAAGGCATTTTTAATAACTGAATTAAAAAAAAATATTCTGTAATAAAAATTAAATCAAATTCATAAGATTTTACAAACTTATCGTCAATACTTGGAACGATCGTAATTAATGTAATATTAATAATATGTAATAATACTTGCATTGGTTGTTTAATTTAATTAATTAATAATTTCTGTTTAGAATACCTACTCCAAAAATATTTAAGATAAGGCACCTAATTGTTTTTTTGGTTAGATTGTTGAGTATGTCAAATTGTCAAATTTTGTAAATTACCTTGTTGAAATAAATAATTATGTGCAGGGGTACCTATAAATGTAATAAGCAAATAATGCTCAGCCCCCTCCCCCTAATTTCACCGAATATCCGCTTATGCCCACTTGTCGCACATTATTATTTAATTTATTATTTAGTGAATTATGAATTATTATAATAAATAATAATTTTTTAACGAAATAATAATTTATAAAAAATAATGATATTATTGAAATTGGTAAACTGAAATCTGGTATGATATGATTATGAAATTATTTCCAACGAGATATGAATGTAAAAAAAAATTACAAATATTTATAGTCAAACGTAAATATCATGTTTTAATTTGAAATGTAGTCATTTATTTAAAATAATTTTATTAATTTTGAACTTTGCAAAAATTGTAATGATTAAATTAAATAATGTAAATAATTGTAATGTATGTTGTATAATATTGACTGTCCATAGCAATTATTATTTTAAATTTAATCAGTTTTTGTTTAATTGTTATTTAAATATACTTTTTCAAGAGAAAATCATCGAGTTCGAGGGGAAATGCCCATAACAGATATAAGCACCTGTTTGGAATTCGTGAGACTCGACTGCCCACGTCCATGGAAATTGATTGACTTGTCACTTACAATAGAGAACGGCCGAAAGCCCGAAGTCAAGGAAAAGAGTACAGACAAGTAGTCTTATTTTTACTTTTTTCTTTAAGATAATCTAAGATAAAAATGGTCTCGACATAAGCAATTTGTACCGAGTTTAAAATTGAAACTTTAAATATTTGTTTAGTCAATGTCTATCGTGAATAATTACGAATTATTACAACGACTTAAGGTAATAAAATAATTCCCGATAATGCAGTTAATACAAGTATTATAATAATACGAATTAAAATTACTTATCCTGTTTAGCAGTGTAGTATATTTTAACTTATTTTACATAAAACACACTGAATCGAACATATTTATTTTTATTACGAATTGAAATCCGTGATAAAACGATTTTATCGTATAATGTTAATTTATTAATTTGTTACTATAGAAAACGATTATAACATTTATATTAAAATATTTCTATAGATATCGATTCGTTTCGATTGAACGAAAATGGCGTGACCTATCATATCATCTGAAATGGTTAAACAATTCAAGTTTGATGGATCTCCATAGGTTACGTAAGCATTGGTGTCAATATAGTGTAAGAATTTTCGGGCAAATAAGACAAGACATTTTATAATCAAATACCTTTTAAAGACATCAATCAAAACTATAGGAGAGCTTTGTTCCATCCTCTACCCTATAACTTACGGATGAAAATCACAGTAATACTAAAATGTTTGAACTTAACATTATCCAACGTTTATTTGGTATTTGTACAACATTTTGTCGCTTCATAAATTATGATCGCTTAGTCACTAGACTAATGTGGTCCAAATGCAGAAATTCGAATGATTTCAAACAAAATAATAAATAATTAGTATGATGTAAGATGATAAATAACGTTACTCTTTGATAACCGTATGTAAATACATGCATTACACGTTTCATTTTTGTAAATTGTAAACGGTTCAAATGTTTATTTATATGAATTCGTGCACGCGTGATTGATATATTCTAACGATTCGGTTAAATTAACATTTTTGCGAAACGAACGCATCAACGGCATATCAATTTGGGAGATGTCGTAGTAAGCTGTCGTTTATCCAGGGACGGAACTAGGTGATAGAAGACGGGGATTCATCCCTGGGCGTAAAATTTTAGAGGGTGTAATTTTTATAATTATTAACAACTACTTTTATATCCTTAACTTTGTTAAATATCGATATTAGGTAAAAACTCAATAAGTATGATTTTATATTAATTATTATAAATAAATTCTCGAGAAGAGTATGTGCTTATTGGTTGCTTATTGATCGGGCGTAGTTTTAACATTTTCTCCGGGCGTAAAATTTACATCCTAGTTCCACCTCTGTGTTTATCCGACATGTCGTCGGAGAGCAGTGAGTCGATTGGCGGTGCGACGAAGGGTCGCCTGAATCGCGAACCATACATGGTGGCCGGTGCGCGGATTGTAGGGCTGTTGCGGCGCGTCGCGCCTTGAAAATAGTGTTCGGCCGCTACCCGGTCGCATAGCCATGTAAGGACGGCGGCGGCCGTTCGGTATTTTTGGACCGGCACCGCGGTGTATAAAACCACCGGCGCCGCGGCCGGAGCAGTTCGCGTTCAACTACGGCACATCTACAGCACATCAGCAGCAGCAGCCGTCGTTCGAATTTTCGCTTGGCAAACCGGTGAGTACGGCACAGTTATGTTTTACGGGCACCCGTGCACAAAATGATAGCCAACGCATGACAACGTGCGCTGTAATTTATCTCGGAGCGCACACTGCGGGCAGTGGCGTAGCTATCCCAGGGCAAAGCGGGACAGTGCCAAGGGGACTCAGGGTACAGGAGGCAACATGGTCGCTTCTGACACTGTACTTCTTTAAAAAAATCAACAATGTTGATGGTATTTAACGATAAATTTCCGAATCGTATGTGGTGGTCCCAGTAAAAATCAGTATTAGTAAGTGGAATAATAACGAACCCAATATTAGTTTGTTTTTTTTTATAATAGGTACCTAATAAACTGAATTTTATTTTTACTCTGCACACCTGTCATTATTATCTGGCCATTCATTTTTCAAATGCATTCAGAAGCACGTTATTCATAATAAAATTCGATTCACGTAGCCGCTACCTGTTTCGACGGTATAATGGTTTTAAAATCAACGATATAGTGCAATAGTACTGCAAGGAATCACACACGTAGTGTGTTGGTAGAGGGGAAAGAAAAGTTACCGCACGTTATGCGTAAACTTACCACCATAATTAAATTAGATTTCCCTCAGTCAGGAGTGGTTCAAAAGTTCTGAAGTTTCGATTACGAATCTTTACAGGCCGAACAACAATGACCGATTTGAAGTCCACGGGATAAAGTCAGGCCAAACGCGATATACTGGTTTATACCTTCATCAATACCACCATTTAAAAATCGATTTTCCGAACTCGGAGTGGTCTGTGGATTCTAATATTTTAGTTATAAATTAACGTCGTTTATACTGGTTTTGATTTAGATTTTGACTTTGGTGGTACTAGAGGGTTAACTTGTTTTTTCTTCTTGTCTGCGACAATTGCACTTAAAACTGTAAAAAATTAATTACTCCTATGATAGAAAAGCTTATTTTTCTCTTCGTTTTGTACCATAACTGCTGTATTAGTATCCTTTTTTGTTTTATTCGTCCTAATCACGGTTTTTTCTGTGCGTATATTTCTAGCTTATTCTTTTTCCGTTCTTCGAATTTTATATGATAGTTGACTTCTGATGATCAAAGTAATATTTGCTGTAGACAATTTTTTAAAGAATAGAGCAACCCATGAGTTCAAAAAATTATTAAGAATTAAAACCAACACTAAAATACGACCGTGATGAGAACTTAATAACCAACGTTCAATCATTATTTTTTACTATATCATTATTTTATCTTCTGAATGCTATGAGCGCACGTTTTATGGCCACGAATTGATATTTTGTTTATTTATTTTTTCCAACAGGTAAACGAAAACCAGAAAAATGTGTGACGACGACTTACCACCACCGTTGGTCGTGGACAACGGTTCCGGTATATGCAAGGCTGGTTTCGCTGGAGATGACGCCCCTCGTGCTGTTTTCCCTTCCATCGTCGGTAGACCGCGTCATCAAGTGTGTATAATAATATTTACAATAATAATTATAGTTATTTTAATAGCAACACATCCAATCCATGACGCCCACCTGTTTTGGGACGTGATCAAAATCTGTGTGATAAATCTATCGTTCTATTATATATACGATCTTCTGATCTAATTATATCGTTTCGCGATGAAACAAAATAATAATAACATTAAGCCAATAATAACTACTTAATCATTATATTTGCTTCACCCACCCGTCTATATCTCACACGTAGGTCATTCGCCAACCCGTTGCACCGGGTTAAAATAAACACGCACGGCACCATTCGTGGTTGCTATGCAGATGGTACGAAGAGAACAAATATCCCTCGTAGGCTTAGATAAAAAGTATTTATTTACGTATGTAATAATATTTGTATGTCAATTAATTATTATCCCTTTCCTGAATTTATCCCTGTGGATGCAATTTTAAAACAGTGATAAGAAGTGGCAAAGGAGTGAGTAAGGTTAAGAAGTTTTCGTATTATACAACTATTGTTATACACAGGATTTTATAAAAATCCCACTGTCTATCTTCACCTGTCCGCCTGATCGGTGCATTAATTCTCTCATGGTCCACTAAAAATAAATAACACCATATGATGTAACGCGTCCAGAAACGCCGGTAAGAGGGAGTCTAGAACGATGTAAAAATAAACTACGTTACTCATCACTTCATCGAAAATAATTATCATGTTTTAATTTTAGATTACAAATTATTACAATAATACAACGCCGTGTGAAATTCTATCGTTCGGATATTGTACGTTACGCCCGTCCGATTATATTTTCTGGTATTACAGAATGATCAATTGGCTCATATTGCTAAGCAGAAACAAATCGAGCGAGTGTTGAATAAATATCGACAGTAAATATTTTATAATGGTACTTTTTCGCGCGTATTTGACTCTGTAATAATTATTCGCTCGATTTAAATATTCATACATTAATCATCGGAAGAATAATATATAATTAACGATCGCTCGATAATACGATATTGTTCACGTCTGAGCTACCATTTAACGAATACGTGTGCAACACTATAAAAACAATCGATGAATCGCAATTCACAATAAATTAATATCTTAAAACGTTGTTTCTCTCTTCGTTATTTATGAAACATAAAATATACGTTTAACAAAAGTATTTTCAATGTAAATCTTTTGTATTAAAAACTTTTCACTTTAATAACTAAATAGATTTTTACGGAAATCCGTTCGTACTATCATTGTTATCACTGCAATTCAACACCGTTGATTCCATTTTCCAATTTGTTTTCATTATTAGGGTGTCATGGTCGGCATGGGACAAAAAGACAGCTACGTAGGAGACGAAGCTCAGAGCAAACGTGGTATCCTCACTTTGAAATACCCCATTGAACACGGGATCATCACCAATTGGGATGATATGGAAAAAATCTGGCACCACACTTTTTACAACGAATTGCGTGTTGCCGCCGAAGAACACCCAATCCTGTTGACCGAAGCTCCGTTGAACCCAAAGGCTAATCGTGAGAAAATGACCCAAATCATGTTCGAGACTTTCAACGCACCCGCAATGTACGTCGCCATCCAAGCGGTACTCTCATTGTACGCTTCTGGCCGTACCACCGGTATTGTCTTAGATTCCGGTGACGGTGTCTCGCACACCGTACCCATTTACGAGGGTTACGCTTTGCCCCATGCCATCCTTCGTTTGGATTTGGCTGGCCGCGACTTGACTGCGTACCTGATGAAAATTTTGACCGAGAGAGGTTACAGCTTCACCACCACCGGTATGAAATTACATATCACTCGAGACCGCTAAGGTTAAACACATTACTGATTTATATTATATAATCTATTATTTATATGCTATTACAGCCGAACAAGAAATCGTTCGTGATATTAAGGAGAAACTGTGCTACATAGCTTTGGACTTCGAACAGGAAATGGCCACTGCGGCCGCTTCCACCTCGTTGGAAAAATCATACGAGCTACCCGACGGACAGGTCATCACCATCGGAAATGAACGTTTCCGTTGTCCAGAATCCTTGTTCCAACCTGCCTTCTTGGGAATGGAATCCTGTGGAATTCACGAAACTGTATACAACTCTATCATGAAGTGCGATGTCGACATCAGAAAGGACTTGTTCAATAACACCGTTCTATCCGGTGGTTCCACCATGTATCCGGGTATTGCAGACAGAGTACAAAAGGAGATCACTGCTTTGGCTCCTAGCACGATCAAAATCAAGATCATTGCCCCACCAGAACGTAAATACTCAGTATGGATCGGTGGTTCCATCTTGGCTTCTTTGTCCACCTTCCAACAGATGTGGATCTCCAAAGAAGAATACGACGAATCTGGGCCAGGCATTGTTCACCGTAAATGCTTCTAAGCCGTGGCCACCCCACAGAGATATAAAATTAAAAAATTATTTATGTTCCTTAATATTGAAGAAAACCAATGCGTTTTTCTTTTTTGTACATATTGAAACGATTTTTACGTCGTTATACACAGGGATAAAATATAATAATAAAAGATTTTTGAAAATATATATATATATTTATTAGTGTAATAACAATTTTGAAATAAATATTTCGCAAAAAATATTAAATTGATTTTTTTTTAGATAAGGTTTAATATTACCATTACAAAAAATAAGAACAGTATGATGTACAAAAAAAAATGATATCCTATTCACATTATTATACCTGTAAACATAAATATTCTATATACTATTGATCATTCTAAAATGTTCAATAACTTGATTCATTTATTTGGATATTCGATTGAATTATCGTATGCTCGTATGCCTTGGTTATTTAATGCAGTACGAGCCTAAAGAAAGTATTATACACTTAATAAATCTATACTGTATTAGATTAGAACTAAAATGCTCGGGAAAATTTTGACCCTCAACTACCACGGTTTGTATATGGCTGTTAATATTGAAATGTATTCCAAATTAATTTTAATATTTCATACACCAAATACCATTCAAACACACATCAAGATGTTTTTATTTTTATCGTTGTTGGTTTATTATTTACGTGTGTGCCCACGCGTTAAAAGGAAATTTATGAATTTTACTTATTTATTTATTAACTATAAAGGATTATACACATCTTTATATATATATGTACATGTCACATCCATATCGCGTTATTGTACATTTCGTGAAATGGAACCGCGATATCTTCACTTCACGTAATTACGCAATATTGATAATATTTCGTGAAATGGATACCTAAACTTTCATCGACGGAACTTGTTCCGTCATTTGGATGTCCATATAGCAAAAATTAAAAAAAAACTTTAATTTCTATATATTATAATATATTACAATTATTTTTAAGAAAATTTTATACAATTATTATAATATTATAATACTTTAATACAAACTATTATTTATTTAGATAAGCTTGTGTTATGGCAACGAGAATTACAATTTAAATTATCTTTAAAAAAATCATATTTTTTAGTTTGATATTTGTCTTAACAATAACAGTTAAAATACCTTGACCTCCAGTTAAAGAAGATGCAATTTCTCTTAATGAAATTTCTTTCATCTTATTCACTTGCTCGATGTCAATGAAATTTGATGTGGCTGATTGTATATTTTCAGATCCATACCAACCTTTTAGTATGCCATGTTCAGTTCCTAAATGGTTAAGTTTATTTTTCTGGTCAATCACTACACCAGTAACGTTAACTGGGTCTACAGGACTTCTATCCACCTTTGGAACTGGGATTACAACACAGTCTCCAACTTTAAATTTTGGTATTTTGATCTAACTATCCTATAGCATAATGAAATAATAAATTATTTTAAGTAAATATGAAAATCAAAATTATTTTACTTGTAACATTTTTTCGGCTTATTTTTCTATTCCTAAAGCTCCTAAATGACGTGTTTCCTTAATTTTTATATTCTCCTCACATAAATTACATAAAATTGCTTTGCCGGAGTCCGTTTCCATACAATATAATATTTGTAAAACATTTACTTAAAATTAATAATATAATTTAATTTTTAGGAATAAATATAATACGAGTGTATAGAAATTAAAGATTTTTTTTTTTAATTTTTGCTATATGGACATCCAAATGACGAAACAAGTTCCATCGATGACGGTAAAATCAATGGTGCAATCAGGATTGGTTTTCAGGAGGGGTTGTGAATGGGAAAAAAAATAAGCATTTTCTGCAGATGTTTGGTGAGGATAAGGAAATAAGATTAAGTTAGGTTTATGAGAAAAACATTTAAATTACAAATTAAGTTACTGTTTAACTTCTATTTCATATTGTGATATCACAAAAAAAAGTATTATACAATCGACTATTGAAAAATCGTAGTAGCAAGGTTATTGATGTTTTAAAGTTGATCAGAACATTACAAAACGTTCCATATCGTCATATTATTATTGTTATCTATTATATTACGAATAATATTCATATTTAATATCAATCAGCCATTTTGCGTGTCGAAGATAAACCAATTTTTTTTCTACGTAAAATTTATAAAAATCTCAGAAAAATTTCGAGGAGGGGAGGGGTTACAACCCCCAAACCCCACCCCTAGTTGCGCCACTGGTCTGGTAAACATAATAATTTGTATTAAAGTACCTATTTGTAAAACATTTTCTTAAAACTAATTGTAATATATTATAATATATAGAAATTAAAGTTTTTTTAAATTTTTGCTATACGGACATCCAAATGACGGAACAAGTTCCGTCGATGATGGTTTAGGTATCCATTTCACGAAATATTATCAATATTGCGTAATTACGTGAAGTGGAGATATCGCGGTTCCATTTCACGAAATGTACAATAACGCGATATGGATGCGACATATATAAATGTTATTTTATAATTCATTTTTCCACCTTGTATCATAAAAACATTGAGACAATAATTATACGCACTTGTACCTAAACGCGCATTTGTCAGACGCTCACGTGTACCGCAGTTATTCCTATGAGAAGAGAAAATTTTAGCTACATAATATATTATTACCGTATTGTATATTAATTGTATAATTTCCTATTATTTTGCGGCGATTAATATTGTTAATATTGTTAACACTCCAAAACAATTAACAGTTATTCGAGGGAATTCGCCCACCCGGCACGACATCAACTAACAAGGGGAGGAGAGAAACTGTTTTAAACGTATTTTCATGAGTCCCATTAGCTATAAATACTATCTCTTCGAAAATTTTTCGAAGTTGATCGTCCAATTCCATTTACAATCTCGTACGTCAAACGTTGTAGCCACTACCATACATACATATATATAATATATTTTATTTACTTATTTTTACGAAAATAAGATTAAAATAATTGAAAGCATAAATATAGTTAATAAATATTTTAAACTAGAACAAATTGCGACGAATTATTATTTATTTTGCTAGTATTTTAAAAGCTTGTTTTACGGTAATACGCTTGATCTACTATACGTAATTTATACGTAAATTAAACGGTAGAAAAGAAAAAATAGAAAATACAACACACGGTTACCAATGTGCAATGTATATACATGACGATAACTGTTGGAAACTTATTTATAAGTTTATCTATTGGCGTATACGAATATGGTATACGATTTTTTTTCAACGCTCATCTTCTCTTCCGATTCAAGAGTTTCGGGGGAAAAAAATGAATATTAGATTAAATTAGATGTAAACATTTTACGAGTGGATTGGATTTTTGACGCACTATTTCGCATATCTTCTTAATTACGTGTGATTAATAATGGGATTGACGTTCAACTCTTACGTGTCCGAATAACCAGTCGTGCGATTAAAAGCGATATAAAATCTTGTCGTTTGAAAATAATGATGCAAATACAGAGATGGAAAAAATCAAAACCCTGTGCAAATTCATGGAGTATAATACAATCATGATTTCACATTTTATTTGTGTAACGCATAAGTGATATTTAAGATACGACAAAAAACTACATAGAATCCAAACAGGTGAGAAAAAACAAAACAAAAAAAAAAAAATAAACACAAGCGTCAATAATTTGAAACCGATAACGAAAAATGTACTCGTGTCATGATGTTAAGACAACCGTCATGTATACTCGCATACCGAACGGTTTGTACACGAAGTGTGACGTAAAACACGGCCCGGAAAGCCAAATTTATACTTGTACGTACACTGTAGAAAACGAGCACACCTTATGTACATGAAAATATATATTATATTTATATGTGTTCCGTGTGACACGTGTAGTTGAACACGTAAAACATTTTATTCCTGTACAGCGTGCTGTCGTCTGCTTCGTTCGGAGCTGTGCAGCAACTGTCGTCTTCACGGCGTATTATCGTACGTACATATTCTCGACGGATTCCAATATTTTACGTTCTTTATCCACCGTCAAAATCCTCCCTCCCACACTTACACAATAAACGGGTTGACCACAGACGTGCAAGGTTTCTCGGTCGTGTAATCGACAAAGAGCTCGGAAAATAGGGTTTACATAACCCTCGCGAATCCCGAAAGCGATGTATTTCTGCACCCAAAGACGTACTCGTATTACCGTCGTCGGACCGAACTCAAAATTTTCCCCCGCACACTCTTGTCTCATTCGCCCGCCCAACGATCAACTCGTGCGGCATTTGCGACAGTGGTCGGGTCACGGCATGGTCGGCCCTTCAGGGTGAAGCGGTTTCCGTTTCACGATACGCACATGTTTATGTATTAACGTATTTACTTCCAGGACGTCAAAGAAAACGTTTCTTTATTAAAATCTGTTTATAAATTTTATATTTAATGCATTAAAATAAGGAATATCGAATAAAATGCATACACTTAAATTAATATAATTGATCCAATATTAATTACGACATGATAGGAGTTCTTGATTTTTTCCAAAGTACAAAATATTCACGCGAATTCAACGCCGTACTTACTTTATTAATTAGGTTGGTTCACTGTCTTCATATTATAAAAATATCAAAAACCTTTGTACGAATTAAACCTTTAATTTATGTTGTCTTAGATCTAACCAAAGATATTTGATAATGAAATATTAGTCTTTTTGACCTTTTGTTATTTTAAATAGAGAAAACTAACCGTAAAAGCCATACACTTTAACTCATAAGAACAACTTCAACAAATGTATAAAATTACCTAACTGATATTACTAATAACTGGAATAAGATTAGCCTGGGATTTATATTTTTATCGATTATGTATAAATTGTACAACCAGTTTAAAATCTTACGATTTAATAAAATTAGTATCTTATCGGTCGATCTTTGTACGATTATACTATAATTATGTTATCTACAATATCATGACTGCCACTTAAAAAAAATAAAAAATAAATATTTCGTTCTAAAAATGCTATAAAATCGTTATAAACTTTACAAATATTAACGATTGTGGAGAAACTAGGTTCTATAAGGTAAGATAAATATAGATCATGAAAAT